AATAACGAAAATTCACTATTATTGTGCCCAAAGCCCCATTTATTAGCCAAGTACTCTGGTATAATATTTGACCCTTCAGTAGATCATCACTTTCATCCACGTACAACTCTATGTTAAAGACCACCATTCACTTTCATGCAAAGTTCAGAATAAAGTAAAGCACCTCTACATGTCTCATGCCATGCATCTACCAAAACAATATTCGTATATTGAAGGTGAAAATTAGTGTTTTTTGTTCAAACAATTTTAATATCAAGTATAAGCAACAACTACAAACCGGAACGGCCGATTGAGTTTGGTTAATTCTGTTCGTGTTTTAATCCGAGTATTCTTCTATAGGAAGAAGTCACATGCAGTTGGTGGAAACACATTTTGGTCAAATTAGAAGTGTTACTGAAATGCACATAAAAAAGAAATGGTCGTGTATTATTCATCAGCTTTTATAACGAAAGTCAATTTGTCCTTATTAAACACATATTTATAAAATTTAGAGATGAACTTGAGACAAAAAAAGGTCGGACCAAGTGGAAACACCTCAAAAGTTCGAGACAATTATGAAATTCACCCTTATACTAATACAATCAGGAAAGACAGTAACATTACAACTCTGTCTTATCTGATCTCGTAATTTTTATATTAATCAGAAACTTGATCATGATGCAATGTTCTTAGGGCAGAAGTGCATGAAGAGCAAAGCCAACACAGCTGACTTAACTATAGTGGCCATTGGAATCCCATATTTACCCTTCCCAAACAAACCTTTAACAAATGGCCAAAAACATAGCACATCCACACACTACACATCATCTCCCCGATGCCCGCCCCATTCACCCCAAAAGCCGGTGGTTGCAAACCCAACGCGGCCGTGGCCAGAGCTGTGAATTGCAGAAACAAAAGGGCTGTGGCTGGTACAAATATTGGAGACTCATCAAAAGTAAACCATAGTGTGACCGGGTCTGCATCCATGTCGTCCGACTGGTTTCAAGATGATCTGTTGGGCGTTCCAACTCTGGGTTTTCTGGAGGGCCTGATTGGCTGGAAATCCTTGCTGAGGTGAAGGGTGGAATAGCTGAAAATGTGAATAACTCTTTTCCTGATGGTGTCGATTGGGTTCAAGACAAGTAGACAACCAATTGCAGATCACTAGCAACAAGGATCTTGATAATAAGACTACCGAGGAGAATGATGATTTATTTGATGCTTGGAATGATTTTGCAAGCTCGTGCAATGCACCAAATCTTGTTGATAGTTCTGTAAAACAAAGTAGTGTCGATTGGGTTCGAGACAACCAATTGCAGACCACCAGCAACAAGGCTCTTTATCATAAGACTACTGATGCGGGTGATGATTCATTCGATGCTTGGAATGATCTTGCTAGCTCGAATAATGCATCAAATCTTGCTTATAATTCTGTAAAACAAAGTATTAATCAGACAACTTCCGTTGACCACACTTCAGAAACAAATTTGTTTGGCACTAGCAACTCGCGTGACTTGGATTTTGGTAGCTTTTTGCAACCAGATTTCTTAACAGGAGCATTTAACAGTTCCAACAGATCAACTGTAGCGGATAGAGTGCAGCTAGGTCTTCTGTATTAGACAGGTGCGTGTATAAGCCAATTTATATGGGTGCTATTATAGCTGCAGAATCCTGTTTCGAATCACCGTGAAGTGCTATATTTGCTGTTTTCAATAATCTAATACGTGAAGCTTCATGGAAGGTGCATGTGCCCATTCATTATAGAACCCATGTTAACTCCTCATTTCTGTTGCGTGTTTAGGTTGGTTGATGCAATCACAAACCATGAAAAAAAATCTGAAGATGCGGCGGAGGTCGGAGATGTTTCCAGTGTAAGAGCAGGCTCAAAATCTGACGATATGGAGAGAAAAATGTCACAGATGCATCATTTATCGTTTATGCTCGAAAGCACTCTTTCAATCCCTCCCAAGCAAGACCGAGGCGTAATTTATTTGTGTTTTTAGCATGCAATGTTTGTTGCGCAACTTGGATGCAATACTGCGAAAAGAATTGAAGATGAAAATGAAATTTAACCAAAAAATAAAAAAGTTTAGAAGGGAGGTCTGTCAGACAACCGTGTGACCACCCCAACCGGTTGTTACAGCGGCTGGGAACGATCATCTACCGCTCGAATGATCCAAGGATCACAAAGCTGTTAATCACGCTCTGATCATACGGTCATGGTTCATCCACCAGACTGAGGTTCCTGTCTCCTTTGAGATCAAGGATACAGAGGTACAACCTATAGAACAGATCCTGTTCAAGTAAGGTCGTGATTATTGAAGCGCGAGACAACCTCATAAAGTCCATCACTCCTCCTCACATGGCCGATGTGGGACTAACTGTAACCATGCCAAAAATGCAATGAATGACAAAGCAACTTTTGAGACAAATAACAGCAGTCAGTCTAGGAAAAACATTTTACAATAGTTACAAACACTAAAATATCCTACAGATGAAAAGTGAATTACAACATTGAAAACAAAGTGCACATTAAAAGCAACATATTATAACAGTTTTCAGTCTCCATGGTTTTGGTATTTCATCTCTGGTGAGATTGACCAGCATAGGTTAATATAACATGGTTCTTCTGCTACTCCTGTGCAGCCTTCACCGGGTGCCTGTTTTCGACCTCCGTGCCCGCCTCTGTCGGAGGAGCCCTTCTCGCAGCTATAAGACACAGAACAAGCTGTCTCATGCATGCCATGGCGGTTGGGTTGTCCTGGAAATTAAATCAAGTAGAATTGTTTCATTAAAAATAAACGGGTTGTGGGAAGCAATCCAAAAAAAAAAAAAAAAAATTGTATTCGAAGAACTTACAGCGATGAGGTTAATGACTTTACGATCCTTCAACCTCTTAGGAAGACACAACTTTCTGTGGTCAACGTCCCTGCAATAAAAATTCATCAATTGACAAATGTAATTATGTTCATCATTTGCTGACTTGACTTGAACTCGACTATTTTAATTAAATTAGACTAATAACATTCGATGTTTGGTGAACTTATAATGTTAAGACTGGAATAGTTAAAGTAGAGAACGGTCCAACATTTTGAATGTTACAAGTCCTATCTAGAGTGTTACATGCTCAATCTTGAATGCGGCTATTTCAGTTAAATTAGACTAAATGACGACCAATATTTAACAAACTTGAAATTGTTGAGACTTAACTAGTTAAATTGTATTAGACACACATATGTTAGAACTGGCTTGAACTCAATTCCAATCTTGTTTAGTCCAAACACAAGACGAGCTTAGACCTATCAGTATTAACTATTAAGAGTAACTTGCTTTTGGCCTTGTGCGAGCCTCATATAGCAACGAACGATAAGTTTAAGCAGTCGGAGGGAAGGCCCTACAGTTGTAATCATGTCGAGCATTTTCCTAAGAGCTTGAGTGATTACGAAAACTCAATCCGTGAAAGCGCAGCGGTACTTATGTCCCTCAGCACTTATAATCCTCTCCATTATGAATGTGGCCACCTGCATATACAAATCAAAAGATTTTTCAGCATAATTAAGTTTTGTTATCCTGATGCTGGCATGGGTACTTATTCGACCCGCACAAAGCAAGACCCTAAACGGGTTATGTCTTTACCGTTGGTGAAATTACAAATATCTTGGAAGTCTACTAAGCAGACTTTAGTTGCTATGTCCTGGAACCATGGCGTGATACTCACCATCTATGTGGCTGCTAGTGAGTGTACATGGCTTAAAGCCGTTGTCAAGCATAGTCAAAACACTTTTTGGATTATCGTCCATCGTTGACGTCCCAACAATATTTGAAGATAATTCTACATGTTTTTCTTCTCTCATTTGCAATGATACCAAATTCAAAAAGGATACATCAAAAGAGACCATACCAAGCACATTGCGCCAAAATTTTTCCTCTCATCCTCAACAAGAGCATCAGAAGATTGAAGTCAAGAGAATTATTTCCCAGACAATCTCAATGATCTCTTCACCAAGTCACTGCCGAAATTCAGTTTTTAGAAGCTTGTCCAATGATTGGAACACGTAAATTGTCTGATTTACGTTGCTTACAGTCTAATTAAGGAGTTTTGATGAACTCAAGGATAGTATGTAGTAGAAGTTGACCTTAATGTACTCTTTTTCTTTTAGTTCAGGAGCATTTGTCCCACTGGACTCTGATAACATGACAAGGTTTTAACTGGGGTCTTAGGTTGGTCATACCCTAATATGAGCGTTCATCGCCGTTTGATTACTTCAAACTTCGACCTTACACTTCTCACCCTTTGGGTTTTGTCGCACTTCGCGAGTGAAATTGCCTATGCCGATCGAAGACTTCAATAATCATTCGAGAAGACTTGATGCGATAACTTCTTAAACGTTACACTTAAAGAGTGAGTGTTGTAGTTAATATTCTTTAGGAATGTGATTGTATAAATTTAAAAGCAAGAGTCCAACAGGATTTGGATATCTAATCCTTTATGGCTTGTATTACTTGTGAGGCAAGAAAAGTACATGTGGCTAGTACAAATAAAGGCATAAGGCACCAAGGAGCATAAGTGAAAAAACTATTGTTGAACTTCCTTCTCTCTCTCTCTCTTGTCGTCCCTCTCCTATCCTCACTCTCTTTTTCTTTTTTTCTTTTTCTTTTTTTTAAAAAAAGATACGATAGTTGCTTTCATTTCATCAGAAGTTTCTTTACAAGAGTTTATCCATCTCTAAGCATAGAGCTAAGCACAGTCCTCCACAAGTATATCAGTTATAATACTAGATTAACTTAAAAATAGATAGCACCATTGGATTTGATTTGTGCTCCCTTTTTCTCCTAAGTTTACGTAACAATCCTTAGTTTCAAATGGCGACATGCTAGCTTAGTTTTGTCCTCTTTTGTTTCGTGGTTTTCATTTATATGCCACAATGCACTTGTTTCTCCGAAGATATATAACTAGATAGTCATCAAATCCATAAAGGTGATGCATGTGAGAACCCATTAAATTTGAAATAAACACTTAATAAAATAAGTTATAATTTCTTTTATTTTTTTCATCCTTATACAATACAATCAGGAAAGACAAGAACATTACAACTCTGTCTACTCTGATCTCCTAACTTTATATTAATCAGAAACTTGATCAGGATGTAGTGTTCTTAGGGCAGAAGTGCATGAAGAGCAAGGCCAACACCGCTGACTTGACTATAGTGGCCATGGGAATCCCATATTTACCCTCCCCAAACAAACCTCTAACAAATGGCCAAAAACATAGCACCACCCACACACTACACATCAACTCCCCTAGGCCCGCCCCATTCACCCCATGAGCGGGTGGTTGCAATCCCAACGCGGCCGTGACCAGAGCTGTGAAGTGCAGAAACAATAGGGCTGTGGCTGGTACAAATATTGGAGACTCATCAAAAGTAAACCTAGCATCATAAGTAGCTTCTTGGTCACTAGAAGAGGAATTTTGCTCCTTTTGTGTGACTTCAAATGTCACCTCAGATATACCCAAAAGCTTAAATACCACAGTTATAACTCCAAATAATGATGCAGTTAAACTGAGTATTTTGCTCCATGGTCCCACTGTCAATTGGTTCCACCAAGCCCTAATTGATCGACCAGAATCAAGGTTGGAGTGTAGTGTGTTTAAGTGTTTAATGAGAAACACAGCAGCAAATATTATTAGAGCCGGTTCCTGGACCTACAAAGCAAAATCGTTTGAGTTGAGTACAGCTAGGGACACCAAATTTCATTCATGAAAAAATGTGATATTATTTAATCGACATCAATCATTATATGTACTTAAAATATTGTCACACTATTTGGTAACAGATTACCTTGAAGTGTACGTAGACTTTGTAATTCCATCATTAACAATGTTTATACCAAGCTTAATTTAACAAAATTTAAAAGCAGCTATTATTGATAATCCAACAAAAATCTTACATTCTTCTTTGATGAAAAAGGTGAGGAAAACAAGAGTGCAAGCCCAGTGACTATTTTAAAATGATGATAACAATTCCGAACTAAAATCACATTAAACGTAGATGATGATTCTATTTACCTTTGGCAAGAAGTGTGAGTTGGTAATGAGGCAATAAGCTGGCAGAAGAGCATAGCATAGATCAGGAATAGAGTGCAGTCCCCAAATTAGAATCCACAGGTAGGCCAAGCATTGCCTAAACTCAAGCTTGGCATAAAGGGTGGCAAAAATGGGACAATTTTTGCTGAACAAAATTTCTAGCAGCCCTGTGACGCCTCTCTTCCTCTGGATCAACATAACATGAGTAGTTGAGGGTGCAGTGCCCAGAAAACCTGGTGGTTCTGGCATGCATATGATAGACTTCCACCCTCTTGCATGGATCTTCATCCCAGTTAGGATATCTTCTGTTACCGACCCATAAACCCAACCCACCTGAAAAAGGTTCGGCCCAATTAACAATGTCAAAACTCCTGTCAATTAACAGAGACTCCTTCTAACATTAGGGAGAAAAATATTTTTCGTTACCTTTTTGCCCCATAATGTGTCATGCTCGAACTCGGAATGAGCAACTTGGTATGCTGCATCGACCGCACAGGAAAGGTCGTCCCGTTGATCAATATTTTCCTCTAATAAAATTTGAGTGGCTGATCGGATGAGCTCTGGAGAATTTCCAAGGCATTCTTTGTTTAGTCTCTCACTCGTCAAGTTCCCTTTGAAAAATCATTTATAAGTTGATTATTCATTAATGAGTGATTATTTATGTACATTAGTACACATAATATGTATCTTGGATGCTAAGATACCTTCATTATCTGTTAGAGATGAACCGTAGATAACTTTACGTCTGTGAAAACATCCTGTCCCTGCATAGAAAGGTCCTTGAATCCCAGCTAACCCTGGCCAAATTTTCTGCAAAAGTCAAAGCCTTCTACATTAATTAGGTCCATGTACGCCAATCTGCCTAGTGCGGAACTAACTTAGCTACCCCATGTTCATATCCCTATTTCTATCGCCTGACTAGAGGTATGAGCACCTGACCTGCAAGTTTTTTTCGTCAAAGTGGAGTAATAGTAAACTAATATACGTACTTTTACAGCCTCATCCACTTTGCTTCCACATGGATCATCTTTCAAAATGTTGTAGAACATTTGGGGAAACTGAACAAATGCACCTTTTTCATGCTTGAAACCAAGCAGTAGGCACATCGCATGAAGAACGATCTTTGGATTGTTGGTATACATGTCGCAGTCCACATTCAACATAAATGGAGCATTTGTCATAACACCAGAGACCCTCGTCTATGCACATAAAATTAATTAAAAATATTAGTCACTAGGTAAAATCATGGATTTTACACTAGCTAATTAAGCCTAAGATAACAGTAATTTACTAATTGAACAAATGTATTTAAAAAGAGAGACGGTAAAATTTTCTTAGTTAAGCAAATAATTCTCACCAAAGCGTTCATAGCGCCCGCTTTGTAATGATGTGAGTGATTAGGATGCTTCTCCCTGGCTACATAAACCAAATGTGGCAGACCATTAGAAATTCTCTCCTTAGTCTCCCATATCACCTGTACAAATATTAATTCAAATTAACAATAGAAAGTTTATTTAAGTTTCACTAAAATTTTAAGGAATAGTTGCAGGATGTGAAAAGTAGATGAACCACAATATTAGTCGGTCAACCAACTGTGGAGCATATATAATGAATATAATGACCTGTTATATATTGCTACTCCACAAAGGTCATCTTGCATATAAATTTACCTTTACCGATGAAATTGAACTTATTGGGAGGCTTTACTTCTTGTGTGAATTACCAAAAACAAAAAACAAGAACCTTGATTATAGTGGGATGGTTCCTGCTGTCTATGTGAGCAAAATCCACACTGTCCCTAGAAAAATCAAGAGGTGCCAAATTTTGGACAGCATCTTCAATTTTTTGGCAGAGCTTTTCATACTCATCCTACAAGATTAAAGATAGAGACATCATAAATATATACAAATTCAACTGAGAATACATAAGGCCAAATTCTACCTTCATTTTTGTCCATTCTTGAAGGAATTCTGATGGACTATAACTTGACAAAATGGGATTGTCAGAGAAGTATCTGAATGGTGCTCTAACTTGAACATGGTACTTTTTGCAAAAGGGTACCCAAAGCTTAGCAAATTTTGAGGCTTCAATGAGAGAGTAGAGAGTGAGAGGTGAACACCCGTCATCTGATACATAGCAAGCTAGCTTGTGAGTTGGATAATCAACGGCTAGAAGAGAGAGCACTGTGTTCACAGTAATGATAGGTGGCTCTAGCTTTGCATCTGCTGTTGTCACAAACATGTCCACCGTAGGAAGCTCCGAAACCCTAATTACGTATTAAGCATACACAATAAGACATTAATCAACATGTTAATTACCACAAGAACATATATATTTTCAATCTGGCATTAGCAAGGTTCAAAGAATTAGATAAGCAACACTACACATGAGCATACGTAACTTAATTAAATTTAAACGGATAAATTTGATCCAGATAAAAAAAATTTTGAGCTGTTGTCGAATTTAGTCCAATTTTTTATTTTTCAACTTTAATTAAATTTCTAAATTTTATGAGTCTTTACTCAAATTTTTTATTTGAATATTTAAATAAAAAAAACTAACTACTTTCATAAAAATAGTTAAAAAGAAAAGTTATGTGTCAACATATATAATACTTATACGATAGGTAATTAATAAAATCATTTAACCTGTGATAGAGGTATTTATGTACTTACAAAAACAAATGAAAATAAATTTACCTATCATTCATGAAAATAGTTCAAAGAAATTCCATCTTCCATACATTTAAAATCCATACTAGTATATACACTCATATTTAGTACCTACAACATAGATTAGTTACCATTGTTAACCTGTGATGGAGGTCCAAGAAAAAATTGAGATATAAACCAAGGTTCTAAAAAATGATAGGCGCTAGTTAGGCAGCGGACTGACGCCTAGCAACTAGGCGGGATCTAGACAGGCGCCTAGGCAGCCTAATTGGATTTAGGTAAATTTCTTGTATATCTTGTAAATAAGTGCATATTGACACATAAAAAATTATACTTGTATGAAATCCATGAATAAGATAATAAAATAATGATAAATTACAAAAAGAGTATCCAACAAGTCCAAAATTTAAAAACACATTAAGCATATATGTCATATAACTTAAGACATTTTAAATGATTTCTTAAAAAGTAAAAGTAAAAATCCCACGTAATGGGTTGGGTGGTTCATAATAAAACTACTAGGAAGCCATGCCAGGCATCCCTTAACCAAACGACGCACATTGGTATCATCCCCGAAATCCTCTCTCTTTTATTTATGATTTTATCTGGGTTGGTGTCCCACTTTGAACTTTGGAGCACCAAAATCGATCAGAAACCAATATAGCAATTGAAAGTTAAGGTTAGAAATCATAAAAAGATAATTATGAAGATGTGCATGCATCCTTCCCCATTTCATAAAGCACCACGTGTGTGGTGTGAGTGTGACCCCTCCCCTCCACCTATAGTCCCCATCACGAAGCGACGAGAAAGCTTTTACGATTCTGGGTATCTGTTTAGAATTTCTTCCCAGGAAACCATTTCACTCAGTCTAGACCGCCGCCTAGATAGCCGCCCAGGCCACCTAAGAGCGCTTAGGCGGACGCCTAACAACTCCCCGATTTTTCTTAACAATTCACACCTAATCAGATCGGCAGACCTACGTCCAACACCTAAGCGGACACCTAGGCCGATTTTTAAAACACTAATATAAACTAAGAGCAGTAAATTAAAAGCAGAATAACATTTAATTCTTATATTTAATCATAAAAATTGAGTAAAAGATAAACCTATTAATAAAAGATGACATTTATTTCAATTTAATAAAAAGATGATAGAAAAGTGAAAGAACCTAACCCAACAAAGTGTATTAAACTTAAACAAGTTTACTTTATTTAAAAAATAAAAAGAACATGTATGACATACTCTTGCAAGAGGTTGTGAGGGTATGTTTTGTATTCAACCGGAGTCCATTGGGTGATGAGAGTAAGAACCCAATTGAAAGCAAACCAAGACTCACACGTGAAGGCAAGAAGCCAGACAAAACCATGGTCTCTGAGAGATAGGAGACGATAAACAAGGACACAGACGAAGAAGAACAGAATTGCAATTTCTAGGGTTTTCTGCAGTCCATTGATTCTAAGGGGAGCTTTTTCACAAAGAAGAGGTTGAGGATTTGCCATTAGCTTGTTAAAAGATAAGAGCTGTGGATAGAAGTCAGGTCCAAGGCTGTTTAAATAAGTATAATATGTATAGATGGCCGGCGTCAACATCAATCATTGTAGAAATTGAATGTCGATGTCCATATGGGCGTGTGTGCGTGTGCGTGTGTGTGCGCGCGTGTGTGCGTGCGTGTGTGTGTGTGTGTGTGTGTGTGTGTGCGCGTGTGTATGTGTATGTGCGTGTGTATGTGTATGTGCGTGTGTATGTGTATGTGCGTGTGTATTATATAGTCTACCTCTCTATATCTCTTTAGGCAGACTTTCGGTGAAGTGATAGTTCGAATCTTATCTGAACTACGAGAAATCATGACGTTCAAAAGAGTTATTCTTTAAACGGGATGGAAAGGTTGGTGAAAGCTAACTTCATACCCTTAGGTCATCTCCAACCGAATAATCCAGAGAGCCAGAGGGTCATAAATAGCTCGAAAATCGTCTCCAACCGAGAGCCAAGCCAAATTGCTTATGAGCCCTACTAGACAAAAAAGGGCCAAAAGGCCAACCGGTCAACCCAAACCAGCTAGCCAGCTGGCCCCGGGCCAATCCACAATTTGAATTCCAACGGTAAGGTGTAAGCTAACTATTTTTTTTTTTTTTTTTTTTACAATTTTTTTTTTAATTTTAAAATTCTATTTTTTTTTTCCTATAACTTCCTAAGCCATTAAACAACATTAAATTAAATTAAGTAAAATGAAACAACATTAAACAATATTAAAAACATTAAATAACATTAAACAACATTAAAATTATACAACATAAAAAAAAAACATTTAACAACATAAAACTTAAACGTTTACTGCATGCTTCTTTTGGCCCAAAGATGTGCAACAAGATCATGTTGTAGGTGCTTGTTTGTGGCATGGGAATGTATCATCCTATAGTGCCTCATGTATTCATTTAAAGAGATACTACCAGTTCTTGGATTCAAAGGCAAATTAGGACCATCATATATTTTTGCATGAGCCCTTATTGACCTATTTGGATCCTCTTGGTCGTCATCAGACTCTCCATTAATATACCCATCTCGCTCATCCTCCACAATCATGTTGTGTAATATGATGCAAGACATCATGATGGAGTCCAAATTTTCTCGACTCCACCCTCTTGCCGGTTCCTTGATGATCTTCCACCATGCTTGTAGAATACCGAAAGTTCTCTCAACATCTTTCCAGTATGCCTCTTGTTGTAAGGTAAACCACTTTTCAGCATCACTCGCAGGGTTTGGAATTGCTTGGACAAGTGTCACTCTGCTTTGGGTAAATGCCATCTACCATGTAATACTCCATATTGTACTGATGTCCGTTGATGTAGTAGTCAAGTTGAGGTGATTTACCGTCCGTCAGGTTATTGAAGAGGGGGGAACGCCCAAGAACTGTAATGTCGTTTTGGGATCCAGAGACTCCAAAGAAAGCGTGCCAGATCCATGTGTCATACAAGGCAACCGCCTCTAACACAATAGTTGGCTTTCTTGACCTTTTATTAACGCCTTCTTGCCATCCGGTAGGACAGTTCTTTCAATTCCAATGCATGCAGTCTAATGACCCTATCATGCCCAGAAACCCAAGGTATTTATAGTCCAATACCCACCCTATTTATAGCAAAAATAAAAATAAAAAATCAAATCCAACGGCTAGCTAATGTCAGGTAGTTGTTGGATTTGAATTTTTTTATATTTGGCCCTATAGCCCCTTGGCCTTGGGTTGGAGATTTTTTTTGTGACAGAGCTATGTTTAGCCATTTGCCCCTCGGTTAGAGAACGTAAAAAATATGGCCCTGCACTGTTCATTAAAATATTAATTTCTTGGAGGGCCAGAGGGCTAAAACAAGCCCTCTGACCCTCCTTCGGTTGGAGATATCCTTAATTTCCATAAGATTTTATTGTTTTGGCTTAAAAATTGTCTAAACAAACGATATTACTTACATTAAAAAGGTAGAGAAGTGGGCTTAGCATCTGTTTAGACCCAAAATTACACCATCGGCCCGTACAATCGAGGCTATTGAGTAAGCATGATTCTAGACCGTTGGATAAGAAAGTTAAGATAATTTTGTTCTGAGATAATGTTATGGTTTTTAATCACAATAATTATCTTTTGATAAATCATCTTGATTTTCTTGTACAAAATAAATGGGATACAAATCATAGCCCCAACTCAGAAGCAAGCAGAACGGTCCAAACTACTTTGGATTTGTTAGTAGTGCACTGTGTGAATAGCAGCTTGGATTGGGACTCTTAGCACTGATGTGGTCATGATGGCTAAGCAAATAGTTATGTGATGCCATAGAAGGTTATCATGCATGCATAGATAGATCATGAAAAAGCCTAGATAGACTTGGCTTTTGGTGATGATGTGATAAGCCTAGGTTTTATTATTCTAAAAAGTCACGGATAATCATGAAGGAAAAATGGCACATACTCTTATCTTGTTATGAGGTATGTTCGATGATTTTTGATTAAAAAAAAAAAAATGGTCTCTTAAGTGATCAGGTTATGTTGCAAATAAAATGCAATTTATTGTGCATGCATGGTTGCACCTAGACCAACATAGTGGAGAAAGAAAAGTTTCAGTTGGAATATGATGCATTTAGTTAGTCAGGCCACGCATGTGGAAAGATATATTTATCTTTTCAAGGAGAATCAGGAGATAGCCTTTATCATATCTTGGAGATATTAGACGGCTATGGTGATTGTACACAAGTTTTGAGTCAACGTAGCAAGTGATGTTCTACAAAGTTAGAGTGGCAATTGGACTCTACAAAGCTATCAGGTCATGCCAAGCAAAAGACAACCACTATAAATACAGAGTCGCATGCATCATTAAAGCCTCTCCAATTCAATAGACAAACTGCCCTACGCAAACTCTTGCTCCACGCGAAACCTCTCAACAACCTTGAGATTTTTATTTTCCTTTTCCGCCAACAGATCTTCAGTTTGGATAAACAGCACTGTGAAGGCAACCGACGACATCTTCATTTTAGATAAACAGCACTGGAGCCGTAGAATCAGTCGATCAATGAGCACCTTCAGTTTGGATAAACAGCACTGTTTCTCAGCCAACTGATTACCTATCCAAGTCTCGTTCGACAAGGATTTTCGAGTCCTTGTTGGTAGAGGTCATCTCATCAGGCTTCTTGGCGAAGTGAGGTGTTACCAGGTTATAACATTCGACACATTGAAAGTCGAATTTGATATTGAACTTCACAAAACTAGCAACCTTGTCTTCAGGCTCTAGAACCTGAAGGCCGAGACGTGTTCCTTCCTCAGTCGTAGTCGCAAGATCAAGAAGTCAGCAGCACGCCCAACGCCACATCAACATATTTTACTCCCTGGCCAAACTCGGCTGGCGAGTTGGCACGCCCCACACACAACTGAATGACGTAGTTAGCTTATTAATTACTCAGCATGCGTGCCACGTAGGCTTGGTAGTTTTTATGGTCAATAGCATCACAATGGGCTAGCAATAATGTGGTTCAATTTCGTCTTTGGTGAGAATCGAACTAAAACTTTTCACTTACAAGTGAAAAGAAATATCACTAGACCGTAGTACTAAATTGCAAAAATTACCAAATTAAAGTTAGAAATTATTCGCCTTCTAATTAAATTTCTTCATCATACCCTTAATTGTCATAAGAGTTTACCTTTTAGTCTTGAAAATTGCCTAATTAGACTATGCAAATTAAAATTAGAAATTATTCGTCTTCTAAAAGTCTGTTCTTTTTTTTTTTTCTTTGTTCCGCCTTTTAAGTTTGTTTACATGTACACTCTTTGATGGAATTGTTCATGTGCAGTACAGATTGTACAGTACATCCACACATGGTTGCGTCCCTATTCTTATTGGTACTTTTCAAGTTTAAATTGTCTACGTATGCTTGAAACAGATATTGGTTTAGTTCAAATACATTGTTCGTTCCGCCTTTTAAGTTTGTTTACATGTACACTCTCTGATTGAATTGTTCATGTGTAGTACAGACTGTACAGTACATCCACACATGGTTGGGCCCCATGCTTATTGGCTTTTAAGTTTGTTTACATGTACACTCTCTGATTGAATTGTTCATGTGCAGTACAGATTGTACAATACATCCACACATGGTGCGTCCCCATTCTTATTGGTACTTTTCAAGTTTAAATTGTCTACGTATGCTTGAAACAGATATTGGTTTAGTCCAAATACATTGTTCGTTCCGCCTTTTAAGTTTGTTTACATGTACATTCTCTGATTGAATTGTTCATGTGCAGTACAGACTGTACGGTACATCCACACATGGTTGTGTCCCCATTCTTATTGGTACTTTTCAAGTTTAAATTGTACGTATGCTTGAAATAGATATTGGTTTAGTCCAAATACATTGTTCATCTGATATGACATCGTGAAATTTTTTCATGAAGAAAATCACAGTGATTTAATTAAGGTTTTTTTAGTTAAAATGGTCCCTGAGATTCGCATAACACATAACTTTGGTCCCTCATATTGGAAATCAATAGAAGTGGTCCCTAAGATTGTCCATCATTCATTATTTGGATCCTACCATTAAAAAACTCTATTAAATGGTTCCTGAGCTTTTTAACGAAATGATCAAAATGATGGATGATGGACAATCTCAGGGACCGAAGTTATGTGTTATACAAATCTCAGAGACCAAAGTTATGTGTTATGCAAATCTCAATGACTATTTTGGCTAAAAATACCCCCAACTTTACAGAATTTTTTAACAAAAATAACCAAAATAATGGATGATAGACAATCTCAAAGACCACTTCTATTGATTTTCAATCTCAATGACCAAAATTATGTATTATTCAAACCATTTTGACTAAAAAACCTTTAATTAATTAAGTGGCAAGATGTTGTAGCATATTTTATGGTCGAGCCTTGCAGCGTATTGTATAATTAAACAGAATTTAAAGTAATCATCTGCATATAAAGGATAAATTAAGAGGGTGAGAGATCTGTTACACTTTATGGTGAGATCATAATAAGCATGCTTTCAGTCTCGGGGTTAGTAGAGAAGCCCACCCCAAACAGGTGCGTAGCAAGCAAGAAGTATTTGTAAAATTTGATTAGCGCAAAAAAAAAAAAAAAAAAAAAAAAAGGAATGATTAGATTTGCTTTCATAAAATGGGCAGTGTAAACTATAGGTTAGAGTAGTTTGTATAATTACCACGAGATATGAATATGATTGGTCCGATTGGGTATGATCAATGATCATAAACAACTGGTAATGCCATATGTTTGATTACTTGATAACCAATCCATTATTAAAGTAAACATACCTTAAATTCTTACTGGTTTTGTTGGTATTCAAAGTTTACTAACTCGATACCAAAATATGAGTGATAAGTTTACTAACTCTATCACACCTCTCACTTTCACTCTCAATAAAATTGGACAAAAGAAATAAAAGAGGGAGAGCAAGCTTCGGTGATAACACTTTGATTCCTTGTGGATGGAATGAATATCAAATATACATAAACATCTCTTTTATAGAGATTTTATAAAAACTCCATACAAAAGTCATATTCAACAACTATTGTTTAAAACAAAAAAAGATTAACACATACCCAACAAAATAAAGTGTTCAAAGTCTTTACATCCTTTCACACTCACTTTGTTGTAACTTTAGACTTTTCACACACTCACACATTGCAGCAACTTTACTGGTTGCAATCATCGGAAACCTCCATTTTGGTAGGTGCAGCTGCATGAGAGAAAAGCAGCTGGCAGCACACAAGCATTGACATCAAGCAGCACACAAACATTGACATCAAGCAGCTCACAAACATTGACATCATGTTTTTATTTGAACTTCCAACAGGTTTATCATCTGCCTCAATAGGCCAATCATTTTTTTTCAATAAGCTAGCTCTTACTCCAAGGAAGATAAAAATATGGCAAAAGCCAAGCTTATCTAGCTCTTAGAGGATAAGGGAATACAATATGAAAGCAAGGCCAAGATAGCTGACTTGAATATAGTGGACAATTCCATATTTTCCCTTCCCAAATAGTCCTTTGACAAATGGCCAAAAGCATTCACCACCAAAACATTGCACATTATTTCCCCAAGTCCTGTGCCTTGTGAACCATAGCCAGTGGTTGCATCCCAAACAAGCTCATAGCCAGCTGTGGCTGGCACAAACATTGGAGATTCATCAAATGTGAACCTACGAGCATTCGCTTCATCGTAGTCACAAGAATGGGCAGGCTGGTCTTTCCGTGTGACTTCAAATGTGACCAGGGATATTCCTAAAAGCTTGAAAAGAAAAGTTACCAGTCCAAGTAACAAGGAAGTTGCTGAAGATATTTTTCCTGTGAAGCCCATTCTCAGAAAATTTCACCATGCAGTGATTGATTGGCCTGAGCGAAGGTGGAAACACGGTGTGGCTATGTTTCCAAGAAGAAACACAGCAGAAAACATTATGAGAACTGGCTCTTCCACCTGCATATTGGACATTCAAATTTAAGCTTGCTTAATAATTAATCATCCAAAACACACATTGGAGCATTGAAAATTTATGTTTAATACGTAACTGGATGTTATAATTGCATTAAGGGATTGAAACCCTACCACATGAACGCCTATTAGACAAAAACGACCAAGACTGTATCCGAATCAAAATTCAAAAGAAACCAATTTGAGAGAACATAATAACCTAAATTTTAGACTAGAAATGTCTCTAATCCTAAAATAAACCACGTTTTGTTGCTACTCCTCCTAATTAATAGTACTTTGGCAAGAAACCTGAGTTGGTAAGGATGGAATAAGCTGGGAGAAGAGCATAGCATTGGTAGAAATTGGGTAGTTCACAGGATCGGAATCGGATGTCGCTTAGACTATCGATCACAATATGATGTGAAGGATATGAACAAAAAGTGAGTATGAAATTGAATGAATATGACAGAAAGAGATTTGACAAATATATAGAGATGAATAATAACTTTTTTGGAGGAGTTGTATTCTTCACGAAAATTTATAATTAACTTTTCATGTTGAAATACAACTGTTCATATCCTTTTAGAATTAAATAAATAAATAAATAAATAATTATATTATTTTCTTTATTAATTAATTAACTTATTTCATTACAATCATAAATATATTAGTACACCAATGTTATGGTGTACCTTAACACATGATAACACATATTGTGAAAACCACGTTATTATAATCGGATCAGGATCCTCTCTTGATCTAAGGATGAGAATCCTCATGACTAAGAAGTGTGGGCCGTTAGATGAAAATCCAACGGCTATAATTATTATAACTTTAAAGGGACCCCCTGTTTATAGCCATTGGATTTTCATCCAACGGCCCACACTTCTTGATCATGAAGATCTCCATATAAAGATCAGGAGAGGATCCTGATCCATTATAATCATATTACAACAATCATAGCCCTATGAATGCAGTGTAGGGCCCGTATTAGCAGCCATGTGTAGGCCAAGCACTGCCTGAACTAGAGTTTAGCATTAAGGGTGGCAAATATGGGAGTATATTTGCCGAACAAAATTTCAGGGAGGCCTGTGACCCATCTTTTCCTTTGGGTCAACAAAACAAGTGAACTTGAGAGTGCATTACGCACAAATCCTGGTGGCTCTGGCATGTATAAGATTGAATTCGACCCCGTCGCCTGAAATCTTCAGCCCGGTTAGGCATCTTCTGTTACCGATCCATAAACCCAAACTACCTCCAGGGATGGGTAAGCCTAAATGAATTAGTTGATACATTTGGATGACTCTGATTAGCATGTTTTTTTAGGGATGATCTTCTAATGAAGACTAAGAAATTGAATGGTTCTTATTACAAACTTTCTTTTACGGCTACATTATTTGCAAGTGGTGAAATGAGTTCATTCTCTCAAGAGAAAATGCAAGCATTATAAAAATAAAATAAAAAAATTTACCACATTAAATTTGAACAAATATTAATCATCATAGCTCAAAACTATTGAAACACTGCAAGAGGGGCTAGGTTTATCCTTGTCCTCATGTGACGAGGTTCTCTTTTGCAACATTTCATCACGTGGCTATCTTTTTATGGATGGATGATTCACCTTTTTAACACATTACAAACATTGATTTGTTCAAGAACGTCATTAAAATTATAAAATGGTTGCAAGAGAATCTCTTCCTCGTGTGGCTCCGCACTAGTCCCAGTGATAATCACTTGGGAATACTTAATTATATGGCACACTAGAAGCATGTGATCATTGTGATATCATATATCTTCTAAAGGATGTTTTACCAAGTTGAAAATATATCATGCACTTTACAAAAATAGATACCAAAGCCTAGAGTATTTTGGTCTTCGATGGTGAACGCTAGGGTAGTACTACCACCATATTAATTTTTGTGAGCGGTCTAGCAACAATTTCCGGCTATGCGCATTTTGTGATTGATGAGCTGTGAGACCCACTTGCATTAATGGTTGACGCCGTAAGTGAGCTTAGGAGCATCACTCTAATTTCTACATAAGGTGTAGAACAGTAGCATGAAACCAACAAACATAGATACAGTGGATAGGGGAACCAAAAAAAAAAAAAAAAAATATGGTGGATAGGAGAATTCCATACTTCCTAGTACCAAACAACCCTTTCAGAAATGGCCTAAGGCGTAGCACCAACCACTTACCACTTATAACCTCTAATTGGCCTGACCCTCTAACTCGTTTTGAGTTGGCCGCCGCATGCTCAAAAAAGCAGTAGCACGCACGGTTAATTGCACCACCAAAATAGTTATGGGAGGCACGAAAATGGGAGACTTGTCAAATGCGAATTTGCCAGCTTTAGTGTTTTCAGAGCCTTCATCACTTGAACTAGACTGATCTGTTGTAACTTAGACTATCTCAGTTATACCTAAGAGTTTGAGTATGACACCAATAAATCCAAATAACCAAGCACTCATTGTAGTTATCCTTCCCATTCTTTGGTTATTCCACCATGCTCGGATCAATAGACTGGTTCGAAGATGCTCCGGTAAAGTGTAAATATGGTAAAGGACAAAGAGAGCAATTAGTGTATAGTAGGTTGATACTTGGCCTGGATCTAAAGCAGTTAAAAAGTGTAGAAACTCTTGAAAAAGACTCTAATTTTTTGTTTTCTTTCCAATGTAAAACTACACTTACCTACTTGTATCATTTCTTTAATAGAAGTAAGGTTCCGCAAATGCATGTGGGTTCCATTTCTATTAAAGAGATGTTACAAATAATGATTCAAATATATGGAATAACCTTTTATGGGTTTTTTTTTATTAACACCCCACATATTGTTGAATACATCACATATAAAAGTTTATTGTTAAGTGGCTTATATACCTACCATTTAGACCTAATAAAATTTTAAAAAGGAAAATTATTTTCTAAATACACCCCAAGTTAATTTAGACATGTATTCTAAGATGTTCTTCTTCAAGATCTCAAAGTCACTCACCTCCTTCATTATATAACAAAACCCTAACCACTAGAAGCACAAAATGTTGATGGAAAAAGATTATTTTTCATCCTCATTCTGCATATCTTCAATTTGCTTGATTCTCTGATAAGAGAAATTTTGGAATTGGAAAGAAGAAAAGGAAACTGACCCGCCAGCAATACATTTTTTTACGTTGCAGGTGCAACCTAGAAGAACAAACCGATATAACACCAAATAGTTGTGCATGTGAATTCATATATATTTGAATAGAGAAGGAACAATACAATGTTATCAAAGAAAAGATTGGCGGAAGGTATGGCTATTTAACCCCACCGAATGACAATGTTAATAAATTTTGATTTACAAAGTACATGTGTGGTATATTAAGTATGTGGGGTGTAGTTAACAAAACGTAGGGTGTGAATAAAACAACTCATCCTTTATTTCTTTCTCTTTATTATTTTTATATTAAAAAACTAGTGTAAAATGACTATTTTGTGACATTAATAACATCTCTATTCAACCACCATGGGGTTCTTAGTGGTTAGAGATGAATTTCAGGTATGTCAACGGCACATCCTGGGTTTGATCTTTAGCGTGGGTGAATCGCAAGGAGGTGGGCAGGAAGAGACTGAAATGTCTCTGTGAAACTTCCCAATCACCAAGAAAATGAACTGCCATGGAAAACTACTAGTTGGTCTTCTTTTCAATATATCTAAACTACCAATGAATAAAACACTGCTTGTCAACCAAAAACTAATAAAATTACTACTATGCCCTTTAATACAGAATTGAAAGAAGATATTAGAAAAGAAAACAATATGGGCATTAAAGTAATTTTGTACAAACAAGTTTCTGCTGCTTATTTTTTTTTTTTATAAACCTCACAACTATATCACTTTATCAATACCTCTCAACCCCCTCTCTCTCTCTTTCCTAACTGCCAGCCCTTTTTTTTTTTTTTAATGCCTGCCAACCGGTTAAAAACAAATAACTTCTCTCATAAAAAAAAAAATTAAAAACAGAATTTGAAAAATATATAATATATATTTCTCAACACACATAGCGTGTGACCTTTGCTAGTGCCTATAAAAATAACATCCCTATGCGGCTCCTTCCCCTTGTACCTCTTCTTCTTCGTTTGTCATGGGCCACGAAATCAGGTCGGCCCAAATAATAATCCAAAACATCAAACGACGTCGAAAAAGCGTTTAAGTGCGGTCTCCTTCCATCCAACAGTGAAGACCACAAACTTGCTGAGGGTATCGCTTCGCGGGGCGACTAAGTACCGAACTGCTGAAATTTTTAAAGCCCAACCAAAGCCATCGATGCCGACGGTTTCAGTTGACGACCCAAAAATTAAAAAATAAATCTCAGTCGGTTAAGCAGAATGCTGACAACTGTCGCTGCTGGTAGTTTGCGATCAGCAGCTTCCCGAGCCTTCTTCTTCTCCAAAGCTCTCCCAAACTCCGCCGCCACTTCCTTCTCGCTCGCACGGACGCTCTCTCCCGCCGCCGTTTTTCGCTCCTCCTTCCGCGCCATGGCCTCCGATTCTGCTGCCCCCTTCAACAAAATCCAAATCCAAAGAGACGACACCGTGAGTTTCCCTTTGTTTTTCCTCTCCCTTCAGTAGTTTTATTGTTAAATTTCGTCGGATTTTGTGCGATAATTTTGTTTGACAATTTGGATTAATAGGAAATGGGAATTTGATGTTTTCATGTGTAAATTAGGAATAAAAAACACCCCATCAACTATAGGTACAGAAACACTTCAAGTGCTCTTTTTTTTTCTTTTTTTTTTTTAATTTTGGAACAAACATATTATCTACGCTAAAGTAGAGAGTGGGCTTATCTTTATAATGGGCTAGTAATAATTTAGTTCAAATTCATCTTTGGTGAGAATCGAAAAACTCTCAAAGAGGAATATCACTTGACCGTAGTATTAAGTGGCATTTCAAGTGCTCGATTGGTAAAGGAAAAATTCATCACATATCTACATGTTATGCTCTAATTGATTCGTAGTTATGAAATTTATTTGGTGCCTTGTTCCATTACAAAGTTGGGTTTTTTTTCCTTAATGTATTTGGAGGAATCGAGATCTCTTTGTGTCAAGTTTTCGGATTTCTTTGTGGCGGAGTAATTGAAAGAAACAAACTTTATGCTCTGGTTAGAAGAGTGTGACATCCAAGTTCGAATCCCCTGTTTAGATTAGATTAATTTAGTGTCGACAATCTATTGAATACAAAAAAAAAATAAACTTCATGCAAATGGTTGGTAGTAACTCCCTCTGAACCTTATTTCTAATGTGTTCTTCTTCTGTGATCTAATGACCAGACATTTGATGCATATGTTGTTGGCAAAGACGGCGCTCCTGGGATTATTGTGCTTCAAGAGTGGTGGGGTGTGGATTATGAAATTAAGAACCATGCTGTCAAGATTTCTCAACTTGCTCCTGGATTCAAAGCACTTATCCCAGAGTAAATTCTTTGAGCTTACGTTACCCTTTGCTAATATCATATGTGTTCGTTGAATTATTTGCAATATTTGAATGTTAAGTATCTTATTGCTTCTTTTTTTGTAGCTTGTATCGGGGGAAGGTTGGTTTAGATGTTGCAGAAGCTCAACATTTGATGGACAGTCTTGATTGGCAAGGCGCTGTAAAGGATATCCAAGCTTCTGTTAATTGGCTGAAAGCAAATGGTTCGAAGAAGGTGTGGCATGGTTTGCTTCTAGTTTAATTTTATCACAATTGTCTTAATAGCTATGAATTGGGGCTGGTCTGGTTTAACGGTGTATATATGTTGCGGAAATATGATACTACGAAGATGCAAAATACATGTATTCAAATATTTTAAGCAAAAATTGTCCCATCAGTTAAGAAACAAAATTACATTATATAATCTCTCAGTTATGTCAATGATGCATTGCCATTTTTGTATGATTTGTTTTAAGGCATAACCATACTCTGGTAAGTTTTATGCCTAACGTTGTATTATAAGAGAAATCACCACAGAACAGTTAGGCCACTGTATTTCTTATAGAACAGTTATGTAAAATTAGTCGGTACTAAAATTTGAACTTGACCTTTCTCTTTCTATATACATAGAAACTGTTTTGACTCATTGCAGTTCTTACTAGCATGCCATGATCCACAAAATATGGTAAGATTCTGCCATGTTTATTAAATCAGTCCTCCTTCGCATCCGTAAAATTTATGGTGATATCAATCAGTTATGATATGAATTTTAGAAAGTAAACTCATTTGCTAAATTAACCTGTTGTTTAATTAAAATAGGTGGGTGTTACTGGATTTTGCATGGGTGGTGCTCTCTCAATTGCAAGTTCTGTTTTGGTCCCTGAAGTTGATGCTGTTGTTGCATTTTATGGTGTGCCGTCATCAGAGCTTGCAGACCCTGCCAAAGCTAAGGCTCCTGTTCAGGCTCATTTTGGAGAGCTTGATAGTTTCGTTGGCTTTTCAGACGTGACGGTATTGAATTTTCGTCTGCATCTTTCATCTCAATTATTTTTAGCCTCTTAGGTACCTTCTATATAAGGCTTTTTTTGTCCTTAGCTGAGTTGCTAACGCCTAATGGCTGCGTATTAGGGGGCACATGAGCGTAACATTGTATAGTTGATAGTTGATACTACAATAATCTTTGGCCATTCATGTTCTGGAACCCTCATTTTCTCCTTGTTAGACCTATGTGAAAACCCACGTAATGAATGGCCTGTATCTTTGCATTCGAAGAAGTGATGCAGGGATATGGTCCCGTGCTTTCAGTGCACTTATCCTTTGTGGTTTAGAGATTTCCCTTCAAAAGAAGCTCTTGTGATATAAGGTTGTGATAAGGGAATCTGGCTTTCCCTTGATTTTTCATTTCTGTATGTGCAACTAGGCGTTGTGCTTCATCCGTTACTTAATTCCATGTGATATAGTCAGATGGCATTAGTTTTGAAATGATGAAGGGCGATCTTTTTCCTCTTGAAGTACCTTTCCCTGAAATTATTGTCAAGCTTCGTGCATTCAAATCCTTATAGTATCAGCTGTTTAGCCATTTAGAAAGGGAAGAACTTCACAAAAGTTGGATATTGGTAATATATTGAGTAGTGCTTCTATACTCAAAGCAATATGTGCATAGGGGTATGCATAACATGAACCGTTTGAATCACTTGTACAATTGCTTGTGCCGTTGGCAATGCAAAGGCGCGTGCATTCTTAAAAATGAGTACTAACAAAGGATTACTTATGTTGATATTTTGATCTTGATTTTCAGGCTGCCAAGTCTTTGGAGGAGAAGCTGAAAGCATCAGGAATCCCTTACGAGGTGCACATTTATCCCGGCAATACCCATGCGTTCATGAATAGGTCTCCAGAAGCTGTGAAGAGGAGGAAGGGCATGGGCTTGGCTGATGAGGATGAAGCAGCATGTCAGCTGGCTTGGTCTCGCTTCCAGTCATGGATGTCTTGTTATTTGCTCGCTTAAGTTTTTATTAGTGTAGTTTTATATGTCCGGCACTCCGACATATGATGCTACTTTCCGGTTGCTACTACATGCAGCAGGGTGTCCTATCCAGACTTATGTCCTATAAAATAAGGGTGCTGATACCCTTGTAACTACCTAACTTAATGGTTTGGCTAGCAATACTATGTGATATTAGTAAGTTCTGGTTTCCTTAATGGTTTGACTAGACTTATGGCCTTCACCATCGCTGCTGCCATCACCCAACCACGAGTCACCTATCATCATCACCACTACCTTCCCAAGGCCTTTACCAGCATGACGTTCTCATTGCCATAACCGCCGACACCAACACATCACCACCTCTACTACCACCACATTTTTATGACCATCACACACATTGCCGCCGACGCCACCACTGCCGCCTTAACACCACTGATGCCATCACCACCCCCTCCACCTTCACCACCGCTACCACCCCCAACATTATCACCAACACCACCACCATCACTAGCGCATGTGTCAACAACTCATGTGTAGATTGCCACCACCGCAGCCACTTCAGCACTATTGATGCCACCACCATCCCCTCCACCTTCATCACCACTACCACCATGTCATTATCACTGACAACACCACCATCACTAGCGCATGTGTCAATAACTCGTGTAAATTGATGACTGTATATGCACATTAAACATGATACAAATTTCTATATAATTTGAAGAAGACATGAAACAACACAAATTCTAAAAAAATGGAATTTCGTTATTTTTAATTTCCATCATTTAAGAATGATCTTCAAATGTCTCATCCAACTGATGATAAATTGTGACTTCTTGTGTTGTGTGGCTCAACACGTATGTCAAGGGGTAACGTGTGAGAAGTTGCAAACATTAAACGAAAGGATAATACTAGTGGGATTAAATTTTTAAATCAAATGATGTGTCACCAATAGAAAATAAGCACGTTAATTAATACTTAAGTAATAATCTAATTATCAATAACCATTCATTTGGTTTACAAAATTTAGTTTAAAATTTTGATATCCTTGACATTATCCTAAACGAAAAGTAGGGCAGATAAAGCTTGGAAACATGCATGTGAGTTGCAAGAGCAAGTTGAGCAAAATGTTGAATGTTTGAATTATGGGAGAACCAGACTCCTTAACTAACGCTTGGACTCACTCCATACCAACATTTAAATGTTAATCAAATGGAATGCAATGGACCACATCCATCCTTTTTGCCACGAATGACTTTAGTTTCCTTGCAAAATGGGATTTACATGACGAATTGGAAATTATTTGCAGAGAGAGAAAGTGATGGATCTTCACATGTTTCACGCCTCACTGGCATATGAATGTAAATACTAAAAAGATGAAGCCTTGTTAATATTTGGATGTGAATGAAATATTATGCTACTTGAACCCACTTGATTCCTAGCTACATGCACATAAGAACCCTAATTTGGGTCTTTAGGTCTAGGGTTCTTTAGGTCTTGTCCTTCTTTTTTTCGGAATGAGGATCATCTCCAGATCTTCTTTGTGAAGATTCTGAGAATTCTCATATCATGTTCGTTCATCATATATCATGCGGTCAGTTTTTGTCATGTGTTGTTCATGTTGGAAATTTTGAGTAGAAATTTCATTGTCCCACATTGGCCATTTCTAAAAGGTTTTCTTACTTTATAAGGTTTTGTCTCCTATAGAAAGTGATTGGAATGATAGGTCTTGGAGAATAAAATTGGGCTCACCCTTGAGGTTGGGCTTTGAGGTGTACTAATTAATTATCAAAAGATGGGCCTCGGGCGTTCGGGCTCTGAAAATTAAATTCTTTAATTAATTAATTTTGAATTTAATTAAATTATTTTTTATTTGAACATACTCATCTTTTCAGATGAAGTCTGAAATCAAAAATAGCAGAGAGCACATCACCCCTCTAAAAAGATGTCTCTTAACAATCATATCTCATTTTCATACATGTTGCGAACAAGCATAATCCCACTATATATACATCCATCTGCATGGCATTTAGAACACAAAAAATACAATTCTTCTTCTATAATCCAAAACATCCTTACTGAGAGAACCACATAAAAATTTGTCAGAAGTCAAGTTTTCCAGTGCTATAATTCTGACTTGATTGTTGAATCCTAGTGAAGCAGACGTCTGTAGAACTACAAGCACTGAGTAGGGACGAATTTTCTATTTCAAGGACAAGGCAGTACGCAAGCCTCGATCTTCAATATTTCTGTTTAATAGTATTTCATTGTTCATACTCTGTTAATTTCCTATTCGCATTTATTATTTATTAGCATATATAAGTATATCACACATTGTTGACATATATCCAACAGTTCATATTTAATTTTAAATAAACGGTTTTAAAATTATTTATGACCGCTTGATGTACGATGAACGGACACGATTTGAGGATCCCACAAAGAAGATCCAAAGAGGATCCTCATTCTTTTTTCTTTCCTTTTTTTTTTTTTTTGTAACGATTTTGGCATTTCCTAAACCCTAAACCCTAATTTAGGTATTCCAAGTTTCCAACCCTATCTTTTGGCACCTTCAACGCTAGTGTACAAGATTATGAAATACTTTATTTGGAGCTTAGAAGCTAAATGGTATAGTTAAACTCTTTATTTTGAATTAGTTTTCTGGTGTTTGTTTTTCGTTGGTCAAAGTTTTCGGGTGTTTATTGTCAAGCATATACTTGCACATTTGTATCACTTGTCCAACTTGGCTCCCTTACATGTAATGAAAATTTCTTTCTTGTCTTCAAATTATAACACGACACATGAAAGAATCACTCACTAAATCACAATTAGACAAGTTTAATTTTACGGATATATTAAACTGTGATTTGTCTATAAGAAAAAATGACTAGTCACATATTAGTTGAGTATATACTCTTCACGAGTCTTGAGACTTTATGTTATGGTTCATATCAAGAACAAATATTTAATTTTATTTACTTATTAACAAAATTAGTTGGATTTATGCCTAGCTAGTCATAACTAGTGGCTATGACCTCAATTTCTTTGCCTTTCAACATCGAAATTAAAGGTAATGTTAGAGAGACTAATTTTATAAATCAAATTATGTGGACATTGATGATTGGATTAGTACTTAAGTGTTGATTAACATGCTTATTTTCTATTGATGACGCATCATTTGGTTTAAAATTTTAATCTCCCTAGCATAACCCCAAACTTAAACCTACAATTAATAATTTTTTCATATTACTATGTAGTTCGGATAGCTGAAGAAAAATTGGTTAAGCTTAAAAATCTCTTCCAAAACTTAGGGCTAGTTTGGTATTGCTGTGCTTTGAAAAAAAACTGCTGCTGTGCTGTGAGAATAAGCAGCTGTGAAATAAAGCAGCAGAGTGTTTGGTAAACTTTTTTGTAAAAGTGCTTTTGAAAGAAAAAACAGTATTATAGTGTTTGGTAAACTTTTATGTAAAACAGATGTGAAAAGAAGCCGGTTTTTCAAAGCTAGGTTTTGCAGCTTCTTGTTTTTGGCTTTTTTTCACCCAAAACTGTGAAAAAAAACTGAAGTTTAATGTTTACCAAACACAAAACGGCTCCCAGCTTTTTTTGATACCAGCTTTTTTCAGAATCACCTCAATACCAAACCAACCTTTAGTCATGCATACATAGGGTTGCTTGTTTGTACAGAAATGACACAAGCTCTAATCAATTTACAGTACAAGGCAAGATTGAATGGGGGGACAAGTTTTCTGTTAGGTTGACAATAATGATGGGTTTCATATAAACCATTGAATGAGGATCTCTCCAGATCTTCTTTGTGAGGATTTCGGAGATCCTTCAATCACATCTATTTATTGTACATCGTGCGATCAATTTTCGTCAAATACTGTTTATATTTAATTTTAAATAAAAAAATTTACAATGATTTCTGATCGTACGATGTACAACGAACGGATGGATTGAATGATCCTTAGAATCCTCACAAAGATGATCTGGGAGAGGAACCTCATTCTAGAATTCGGATCCTAGCCGAATCCTCTTTGTGAGTATCTTTTAATTCGTGAATCGTGTCCATTCATTGTACATTGTGTGGTAAAAAATCATTTTAAATTTTTTTATTTAAAATTAAACACAAACAGTACCTAACAAAAAATTGACAGCACGATGTACGATGAACGGACACAATTTACTGATCTCCAGGATCCTCACCAAAAATTCCGCAGAGGACCCTGTTGGCTCATTCTAAACCATGGACCTGGATTGTCTGCCCTCCCCATTCCATACCCTTCTATTTCTGTGGTCACGGTTAAGCCACGTCAAATGTTGACATGGTTTAACTGTGATCACAGAATATACACGTCAACATTTGACGTGGCTTAACCGTGACTATAAAAATAGAAGGGTATGGGATGGGGAGGGCAGACAATCTAAGTCTCTAAACCATTGACACTAATACTATGCGCTGTCAGAAATCAGCAGAGATCCATATTTCTTCCTTTGATATATATATACATATATAGTTTGCTTGTTTCATTGGTCATCAAATTGCTCTGAATCTTGAGAGAAATTTATTTGAAAAGTTTGAAAACTGATGAATAATTGGATATATATATATATATATATATATATATATTACTATTGTTGACTAACTACATTAATTAAATTATAAGAAAGAAATTAAAGGAAGAATATATAGTGTGTTAATTTAAGGCATTGTGCTGATAGTTTAATTAACTTTGGAAGTTTTGGAAAATGAAAGCGATCGATGCCTTAATATCTTTTCCCTTCAGGCAGTAGTTTATATATATACTTAATTAGCTCCTATATGAATTAATTATATAAATATATATATTTATAATCTAAGAAGATGAAATGATTTCATAATTGATTAATTTATTTAATATATGATCTTTGATTTTGGCATATCCCACGCTACAATTTTATAAGGTTTGTTGTATGGTCGTTATAAAGGTGGTAGGTGTAGGCATAAACTCATCATCAGTCCAAGTCTTCTCTCCAGCAACCCAGCTAACCCAATAGTTTATGACCTAATTTGTAATATAATGTTGCTTAATATTTTCTTATGTTTTATTTTCTGGGTGCTTTATATGGTCTGCTAATGTTGAACAAATCCTTTGTCAGTAGTCAGATATGAAGATACCATAAAAGGAACGGCCTTCAACGTAATTGGATTCTGGTTTG